TAAAAAGAAAAAACCCTCAAACGTAAAGAGTGAAAGTGAAAAAAATAATTACAGAAATATGGGTGATATATTGGCAGAAGATTTAACACTGGATTTGAGAGAGATACAGAGGCCAGATTCAGAACATGGTTTCTCACCTGATTCAGAGAACTTTGATTGGAAAGCTATACAAGAAGGTGCAAATTCTATAGTTAGTAGCTTGCATCAAGCTGCAGCTGCTGCATCACTGACTAGACAAGCTTCATCAGACTCTGACTCTATCCTTTCATTAAAATCTGGTATTTCTCTAGGGTCACCATTTCGTCTTACCCCAGACCAAGAAGAAAAACCTTTTACTAGTAATAAAGGTCCAAGAATTCTTAAGCCAGGGGAAAAGAGTACATCGGAGTCTAAAAAAGTAGAATCTGAAAATAAGGGAATCAAAGGAGGAAAAAAAGTATATAAAAGTATAATTACAGGAAAAGCTTGCTCCAACTCAGAAGTTTCAAGCCAGTTAAAGCAATCACAGCAAACAAGTATGACTTCAATTTCACGTGGTAGGACAATGATTCATATTCCAGGAGTTCGAAATAGTTCCTCAAGTACTAGTCCTGTTTCCAAAAAAGGTCCTCCACCAAAAAATACAAACTCCAAGAGTCCCAGTGAAGGCCAAAGTTCCCTTAGTTCTCCAAGAGGAGTCAAGTCATCAGTGAAACCTGAATCAGCTCCTGTAACTAGGCAACCATCTCAACAGAGTGGATCAAGTAAAGGACCTTCTAGATCTGGATCTAGAGACTCCACTCCTCCTAGACCTCAACAGCAACCATTAAGCAGGCCTCTGCAATCTCCAGGCCGACACTCAATTTCCCCAGGAAGAAATGGTATAAGTCCTCCCAACAAACTGTCTCAGTTGCCAAGGACATCATCTCCTAGTACAGCTTCAACTAAATCTTCAAGTTCAGGAAGAATGTTATATACAGCACCAGGCAGGCAGATGAGCCATCAAAACCTTACAAAGCAAACTGCCTTACCTAAGAGTACCAGTGGCGTTCCCAGAAGTGAGTCTGCTTCAAAAGGATTAAACCAAATTCTCAGTAGTGGTGGATCAAAAAAAAAGGCTGAACTATTCAGAAGTGAATCTGACAGATCTGAAAGACCTGTTCTGGTTCGTCAGTCAACTTTTATTAAAGAAGCTTCAAGTCCAACTCTAAGACAGAAATTAGAAGAGTCTGCTTCATTTGAATCTCTGTCTCCTTACAGGCCAGGCTCTCCCACTAGGTCCCAAATACAGACTCCAGTTTTAAGTCCATCTCTTCACAATTTGTCTTTATCCGTTCATTTAACTGCCCAGACTAGTGGTTGGCAAAATTTACCCCCTAATCTGAGTCCTTCTGTAGAATATGATGGGAGACTAGCAAAACATCATGACATAGCTCGTTCTCATTCTGAGAGTCCATCTAGATTGCCAATCAATAGATCAGGAACATGGAAGCGTGAACATAGTAAGCATTCCTCATCTCTTCCTCGTGTAAGCACTTGGCGAAGAACTGGAAGTTCTTCCTCAGTTCTGTCGGCTTCTTCAGAATCCAGTGAAAAGGCAAAAAGCGAAGATGAAAAGCAACATGGAAGTTCTGTTTCTAGACACAAACAAAGCAAAGAAAGTCAAGCACCAGCAAAAGATACTTGGAGAAAAACAAAAGAAAATGAAATTCCTCAAATAATGAATGTTCCTCAGTATTCTTCCTCAGGTGCAACAAATTACTCTGATTCCAAAACTCTAATTTATCAGATGGCACCAGCTGTCTCTAAGATAGAGGATGTGTGGGTGAGGATAGAGGACTGTCCTATTAATAAACCTCGATCTGGAAGATCCCCAGCTGGAAATACTCCCCCTGTTATTGACAATGTTTCAGAGAAAGGGACTGTGAATGATAAAGACTCTAAAGAGATTAATGAAAAACAAAATCCAGGGAATGGGAATGTTCCCGTTCATACCATTGTTTTAGAAAATTGTCCAAACTCTTTCTTTCAGATAGACAGTCTAGACAAGAAAGGAACAGAAGCAAAACCTGTACAGAATAATCCTGTTCCTGCACCAGAAAATAATGAAAGTACTGTTAGTGAGCATACACTATTCAGTTCCAGTAGCTCAAGCAAACATAATTCCCCCAGTGGTACTGTTGCAGCAAGAGTGACTCCTTTCAACTACAGTCCAAGTCCCAGGAAGAGTAGTGTGGACAACAGTTCTGCTCGACCATCACAAATACCAACACCAGTAAATAACAGCACAAAGAAACGTGACTCAAAGACTGAAAATAAAGACTCCAGCGGAACTCAGGGTCCTAAACGTCATTCTGGCTCTTACCTAGTGACTTCTGTTTAAGTACATCAAAAAATAAATGCAATTAATGTATTATATACAACAGCAATTTAGAAATTTTGTTTCAAATGAAACTTTAAAAGACTGAGCTGTTGGTTTTATTTGTTGTTTTTATCTTTTGTAAATAGGTTTGATTCTTGTTAGAGTATCCTTGTTTTGGAAGCCATATTTGATAGTATACTTTGTCTTCACTGGTAATATTTTGGAGGAATGCCTAATTGACAGCTTGGAATAAAATTGCAATTATATTTGTATGGTATGTTTATCATATTTAATTGTCAACCCATCCCATAATCCTTTAAACATTGCTTGTCTTGAAATCATGAGAATTACAGATAGAGATGATACAGTCATATTACTTTAATAATTGTTTATGGATTACAGACTGACTAAACTACATCAGGGAAGAATTGGTATTATTTATGCAAAAAAAGTAACTCAGTTTTAGTATTTGTGAGTCCTTCTAACACAATAATTAATCATGTGCCTGTGAAAATCACAGTACTATGGTTTCTGCTGAACAAGTTTTCCCAGCCTGCTTTTCTGCATGAATAGAGCTGATGGTTCATTTTCTGAAGTAATGATTAATGTTTCTGTGGTCACATAATGTGCATAGATAGTTATGGTGTAACAATTTACACTTTCTTTGTGTTCCACAAAAAAATGGACAACTGTGTAACTGTAAAACCTTGAACAAAATTATTTTACCTGTACTAGATTTTATCTTAAAGTAAGTAGAATTTTTTTGCTATGCTGTGACTTGTTATATATTCTGGTACTTGAGTTGAGGTGGTTGCTCTTCTGTTAATGAGACGTGGATGATGTCTCAAAAGAGACTAAAACGAACATTTCAGAATAAATTATTACTATATGTAAATTGTATGTGTTACTTCTGCATTACATAAAAACACAGTATTTTATTTTGAGATGTCACCTTATAATGTGTTGTATAATGCACTTACTTACACTTAAAGCCTGATCCAGCAGAATCTTGCACCTCCAATATTCACTCTTCTTTATCACTGACAAATGGCTGTTGTAGGATGCTTATAACCACTGCAGGATCAGGCCCCAGGTTTTCTGTACTATATTTGTAATTGAGACAGTTTGACACATCTCAGGTGCACGACAAGGCTAAAAGCAGGGTATTTCCAGAAGCCAAGCAGTATAATTGTTTTTATGACTGCAAGCCTGAAACATTATTGGGTTTTTGGGTTGTTTTTTTTTATCTTTTGTTTTATAAACATTACTTTTAATTGGGGAAAATAATGTAGAATGTGAAATAATAGCGACTATAAGATGAAACTTTAATTCTATTTGAAATCTTAAAGCATTATTTATTTTTTAAACATGATCAAGGGAAAATATTGCAAAAATCCTATGACAAGAAATTTGCTATCATAGTAGAAAAAGTTTTACATGGAAAGCAGGACATTTGCTGCCTCAAGCCTTTCTGATGTGAATATGGTTTGTGCTAAAACCTTTAAAAATATAACCTGAATTTAGATGAGATTTGTTTCAAGGTAGAAACGCTTAGGAGAGAACATAACATTTGCCATTTTGTGCATGCATGAAATGGTATCTCAGTTTTGTTGTGTCTTAACTTGACTATTCTAAATAATTGGTAATCAGGATTCAAAATGTCCTGATTTCAGGAAGCACTGAAATAGAGCAATTTAACTTTAAGGTATCTTCAACACAGTTGCAGACTGTATCACATCTGTGGCTTTTGTACTTCATCTGATATTGAAATGAATCTATTTTTATCTTAAATTTAGCATATGTCATGCACTGTTTATGAACAGAAATGAGATACTATCAGCAGACAGAAATCAATTTAGATTAGTTTAAAAGCCAATACCAAAATATATTTTTGGAAGAAGTGGTATCTTATTTGCTCTTTTGTTCTTTGTCTCCCATCAAATTTGCTTATAGACGTGCCATACTTCTGTATTATCTGGTGAATCTGTAAACAAACAGCACTCATGTTAGCATTTAAAATATTTTCTATAGAGTAGCCCTCACAAAACCTTTGATATGAATGTTATTGTCCTTTTAAAGATGACATAGAGACAGAGAGATTATGTGATTTGTTCAAAGACTTTGCATTGGAGTAGAATACAGAACACCATCCCTGTGTTTAAAATGCAAGAAAACCTTTCTTATAAATGATGTGATATTTCTTGTGCTGGGTTTTTTACTATTAATTTGAAGGTATACCACGTAATCCAGGATTGTCAGTTGACATCAGCTTTACATCTACATCCTGTTGATTTAAGAGTTTAAAGTTAAATTGAATCCATATAAAGAAATTCTGATTTCAGTTTTATGTCTAAATAATTGTATGTGTATCAAACATCAGAATGTCTTTGAAAATTATAATGGCTTCTCTTGGACTGGACAGTATAATGACTATCTCTTGGAGTTACTTCATGATCATTATAATTGGGAAGTTTTTCTTAATATCCTCATAACTATCCTATATCTGTAGCAAAGATAGGTAAGAGAAACTTTCCAACTATAAGGGTAGTGAAACACTAAAATATGCTTCCCATGGGAGATGTTAAATCTTCATTATAGAAGTTTTAAGAAGAGGTTTATCAAACATCTCTCAGGGATGGACTTTAGTATATTTCATATTGCCTGTATGCAGAGAGATGTGCTTAGGTGACCTTTTGAAATCCCTTCCAGACCTACAGTTCTCTGATTCTATATCTAAAATGCTTAGTACCCATTAAGAGCCTTTTTGAATATTTAAGGACATCCATGATGTTTGTTTTATGTTAGTGATTAGGATAAAAAGTTATGTTCTAAGCTTAACTATAAAAATGGATGCTGGAAATACAAAATCAGAAAAATGGAAAATGGCTGTAAGTAATATATTTGGTTCTTGGATTTTTGTTAACGATGCCTAAGATTAATGATAGCTATATTGGTTTATGCTGCTAAAGATTTACTCTTCTTCCTTGGTTTTATTTCTATGAAGTCACCACAGCAGGTAACAGGACATTATTTATGTCAAGGTAAAAAGAGGAATAGCAAGGAGCTAAGGAAACCAAGACTCATTTTGCTGTTCTTCTGAGATGCACTGCCTTTATTTCTCTAGATTTTTGTAGAACTTTTGTGATTTGTATGTAGACCTTTAGTTGTCCTTACCATAGTCGCTGAGGGGACCTGCTCCAGAGCTGGCCCAACCCACAGTGGAGCAGCAGATCTTGGCACACAGGGGGTTTCCTGAGGCAAGGAAACGCCAGGGCAGTGGAGAGACGCACCAGGAACCTGCAGCTCTTTCCGGAGATGAGGCCTGGGCATTGGCAGAACAACAGCGGCCCACCCCCACACCTATGAAAAGCAGTCTAGGGAGTGCTAGTGACCAGAAGCGCTGCAAACAGAGCATGGCACAGCAATTTGCACAGAAGGGTGCGCAGGGAGTCATCACCCTACCAGCCCAAGAGGTGAGTTCAGTTGGTGGTCATCACCCTCTCAGAAGGAGCTTAGCTATGGTATCCACCTGGCAGATAGTTAAGTCCTTTGCATGGCAGAAAGTTAAGTCCTTTAATCCTTTAAGTCCATGTTAAACATGCAGCCATCCAGATCTCAGGCTGCTGAGAGTGCCAAAGCCTCTCACTGGTAACGGACAGCTGTGTGAGGTGTGACCAGGTGGACAATCTGCTCAGCCTGGTGGCAGAGCTACAACTCCAGAGATAGACTCATGGAACCATGCTCCGCCCTCTCTGAGAACAGAAACAGGAACAGTCACCAGAAAAAAAACAAGGTCAAGGGGGTCCTGTATCCTTGCCCCGCCAGGCTGAAGGCAGTAGCTTAAAGGAAAG